CTTGCACTGACCTTTGAGAGATTAAGATGGTCATGATATGGTCATGTATGGTACCCACAGATAGGTTAATCATCTCTGCTAACATCCCGATTTTTATTCTGGTATCTTCAAGTACCAATTTCTCCACTTTTTTAACATTTTCTTCAGTGAGGGCGCCTACGGGCCCACCCGAGCGAGGGTAGTCTTCAATGCTTTCTCTGCCTCTTTTAAATTCACTTGACCACTTTTGAACGGTGGATAACGACGGAGCAGAGTCTTGGTAAACAGCAACCATCTCTTCGTGAATAGTTTTTTGACTTTTTCCCTGCTTAGTGAGGAAGTTTATAACAGCGCGATGCTCGATTTTCTTTATCATCGTAGCGTCAGTCATTCTGATCGTCTTTCACTGCAGATAATTAGAAAACTAATGAGCGTAAATAAGTGAAATTTTATATTTATACCCTCAGATAGTGTCACTAGTAAATGAGATAATTAGATTACCCACATTATTAGCAAATCACCCCGATACCGAGAATACATTGAACGCCCCTCGTAGCTGATAACTTATAAATATAGACATAATAAAAGATAAACATAAGTTCGAAATCCCGTTCAACAGTAACCGGATAAATAGTATTAAACATAGAAGAATCACCACGGTACTCTGTAATACTTAGTTATTTTCAACGAAATTGTTTCTAAAGTTTTTTAAGTAATCATTATGTAATGTACGCCTTTAAAGTGTGGTTCCTTAAATGGAAAGAAGACACTGGCTTTTGTCACGCAGGTCCCATCTAGTCTAGGAGCCAGAGCTTCCTAAATAATTGTGCCTCATGATATTAACACATGTTTCATTATCATTAGTTTAAGAACCATAGACATTTGTTCCTTGGTACAACTAATTATGTTTTGTAGTTTGATAGCTGCAACACTTATGAAGTAATTATCTGTGAATCAACATTTCCTGTATAAACTAATATTTGTGGCTTTCCTTGAAGATTTGATATGAGATCATAGGTACGTGGGTTTTAATTTACTGTTCTTGATCGTGCTTAAGTGACGTGACGAACGTTGACATATATTATTATGATAAATATAAACACTATTTAATAAATGTCAATATTTTTAAAATGTCTTAAAGTGAAGGAAAGCTTTTTAAAGTAAGTTACCTACATGATCAGGTTCTATTATAACATTTCTAACAATTAGTTAAATAAAAACAAAAAATTTTGATCATAACATAAACAGGTTCAAGCATCCGAAACCAAAAAGTTCCTATTTCTGTTCTGTTCGTATTATATTCACCAATGACCACAAACCGAAACTCGCAAGGAAAGCAGCACTGTTTCTAAATTGCGCGACGTTGTCAAATTTACATCAGTGCATCCGAAACATGCATCTAGCAACATCGCATTCACCCCCACGAGAGAAAAAACTACCCACACAAACGTAGTCGAAACAGGTGTAAAACGCAAGTTGCACGCACACAGAGACAGTTGCCATGCTTCTCACGAAAGGTTTCTGAGAAATGCCACGCACACATTGATACAGATTCATTTGTGTTGTCCAGAAAAAAATCTAAGTCGCACACACACACAGCGTTAGCGAGAAAACAATGATGCGCCGGCGACGCTCTACGAGCGTTTGGATTTCTCTTGCAATTTTGAGGATAACACAGCTGAATAATTGCTTTTCGGTGTACCATATCAGGGTGGAGATTTAAAGCTTAAACGAGTATAGTTACAAGTTGCTTTAGTGCCTTATTGTTTATACAGGCACACAGCCTTCGTTACAATCTTTATATTATTATTACTATTTTATTATTACATAAAAATTTCGTGTTTGTCCGCGATGCACTCCTAAACTACTAAACCGATGTTAAATTTGATTTACATTCCGTGTGCATTTTGATCCAATTTGAAACATAGGATAATTTACATCTCAATTTATTGTCACAATATTATTTTATTGCAAATTATTTGTCCACAGTTTGTCCATATGTAATATGACAAGAACCTTAGCCACAACAACGCGTGGCTGGGTCTACTAATATACTATATTATCATTACTTATTGTTTTGTTTTATTTGATCACACACGTGGCTTTTTATGACGTCATTGACTTTGTGGTAGGTCTTACTAGTTCAGTTCAGTAGAACTAGTTTACTTATACTGTGCTTAGTGTGTATCGATTCTAAATTGATATTTTCGCCAATCAATAAATAAAATACTATTTTAAATTGTTACATTTATTTGATTATTTAGGTATCAACGAATGAAAAGTGTATTTCTAGAATAATAATGTAATCCACATTTCATAATTAATAGATGTTGAGTAAAAACATATTATTAAGCTGATGAAAGTATAGACAAGGTATTCTAATAAGTACGTACGTATTAATTAAATTTTATATAGGTACTGCAGTATAAATAAACCGTTGTATCAAACATCATATTAGGTCGCATCTTATAATTTAACGTGGCTTTAAAAACATTACACAAATTTACGTATGAATCAAATCTATAAGCATAGGGAGAGATAGTGATTCTGTATTTATTAAAAAACTTCGATTTCCGAAAGCGGTGCGTGCATTGTAGGAGGCGGTAGGGGTGCATAGGAATGCAGCGGGTGGAGAAAAAAACGATAAAATACAGTTATACGCAGGGGTAGCATTGCCCAACCGGTTTTGACACGATCTACCAACACTGTTATTTCGTACAAATAACTTGAAATCAGATCCTCAGAAGGTTCTGAGGTACAGGGATGCGGAAGATAGTACCTATATTAGGTAACTCCATTAGCATAAAGTACAATGCAGTACCTATTTACCATTATTAAAAGTAATAATGAAACTCTAACAATTTATATCTTTAGATACTTATTAAAAACAAATTGTTACTTGTATTACGATTGGTAGAAAATATTTAATATAAACGAGTCTTAAAGCAAATACTTTTGGCCATAGTATAGATATGAAGGACATTGGATTTTAATATATTATTAAGTTCATAATATAGTACCTATATAAAAAACGATATTCCTATGGCGAGTACTTTCTAAGAAGTGGACGTTTTCAGAGAATTTATATAAATTTTAAACATCGCTTATAAAATATAGGTACATTTTAAACATTAATATATAGTATGAAGGATTTTTGACTATTGTTAATATAATGAATCTAAAAGTATGAGTTAGGAAACAGAACATCCGTAAAGTTTTTGACAAACAAGAACTGGAGAAAACTAGTAGATAGATGATATTAATAACGTTTGTGTGGGTTGAACAAGTTTCACAAAATTTCCAAGTCCCTGCCACCGTCCATAATTAATTATTGGAACTGAATAGTTTTAAACTGTGTGTTACAATTCAGTAGTACTGGTGGTGTAAACTTATTTGGGGAACGCTACGATGTTTTTGGAACGGACTGTATAACAAATATTGTAAGTACTTACATGTACGCAATACTACTAGTTCTGATGAAAGTTTTATATAGTAGTCAAAATTGTATTTCTAAGAATTACTTTGATCGTTCTATAACGAGTTAGAATATAGAAATAAAGATAATTAAAATTTATAAATTAAATAATGGTTTATGAACATCTTCACCCACACTTTATACTTCCAAGAAATTATTTCCTGTTATGTTTCTCCAGTAAAAAACTGCTATAATGTACTATCAGTCATTATTCAATTTGGGCTAAAGATCTTCGAATCGGTTAGATATTAGAACGTAGGTATTCACAGGAAATTAGAAATAAATAGCGGCAAAAAGTATGTTCACAATTTGCAAGGGAATATTAATGAGGGAAGATAAGGTTCGGAACCGTTTTACTTTTAAATACGATATGTGTTAAATTTGAACAGATCGCCCTGTGGGTGGCTGGTCATCAATTTGGCGAGTGAAGGGGCCGGTGGAGGGGCGCGGGACGAGGCCGCTCAGCCTCGTCTAACCCCTTATTTTACATTTCACACTCCGGGAAAATCGTTAGAGAAATCTGCGTAGCGTGCATGTCCGAGACATACGCACACTGGCGCGCGGCGGGCGGCGTGTGAGCGTCCGAGCCTCCCTCGCCACCCCACCGCTATCGACGAAACTTCAAGAAATCCTCTTATACGCACATGTGTACCTAGTCACATATGTAAATCAAAATTACACATTCAATTTCTTCTGATCCAATTGATCGGACGGTACACAGATACATACATATTCACTTATAATGCGAACTTATCTACAATTAAAGTTTCGCACCTTTCTGTCAATGGACCCTTGTGGATTTTTGGTCATTTTAATGTTGGCTTTTTTTAATCTTATCTTTGTCTTTGTCGACAAAGATATAGAAAACACTTGATACAATAACGATATACACGTATGGAGAACCAAACTGATATATCATCACAGTAGATGTATTTTAATTAGAAAGCGGCTCGGGAGATGCTGCGGGGAGCGGGGAGGTGTCGGGAGGCACAGAACAAGCGGCGAGGCAATCTATTGAAAGATGTCGCCGTGGGGCGGCGAGCCGAGTGGTCACATACATTATTACCGAACAATGTCACTATGCAAATGTATGTGGGAAGGCTTTGTGTGAACGCACTTACGCATACGGGGGGAGGCACCCCCACATAATCCGAGGCTCACCCCGCCGGCCTGCGCCCGCTGGCTCTCGCCAAAGATGGTTGTACGCATGTGAGTGTACACACGCGGCACTTTCTCTTGAAGCTCGCCACTGGCTTTTAAAGAGGGTGGCCCCGAGAGGAGGTGGGAGGCGAGCGTTCCGAGCGGGTGACCAAGGGGAGGCTCCAAGCGTGCCGGCTGCCGGACAGCGCCACCTAGCGGCACGCAGCGCTGTAGCACCGCACGACCTGTGCGCACCACGCAAGCCCGCTACCTATGCAACAGGTCCAGACTACTGGTCTAGACGCTGATATGGCAGAACTGCTAGCCTCTGACAACCGACCTCTGACACTAAAGCCGCTACAACTCATAGTTCCCCACTTCCTATACAAGACTACAAGATGCTGTGCTAAGACGTGCTTGAGGAGTGCAGCGCCAGCACAAGTGACAGCGCGTGGCTGAGCGAGTGCGGCGGCAGGGAGCGGGGCGAGGGCGGGGTGCCGGCCTCGTTTAATTGAGTGTACTCAGCGCCCTCGCCAAATGATACTCCTCTGTTCCCGAAATACCTGTAATAGATGTTAATTAGAGCACCGCCCCGCGCACGCTGCAAAGAAAAAATAATAATTTGAACAGGTCGTAATTAGAGATGTTTACATAACTGTAAAACAAATATTTTCTTAATTTTTAATATTTTCCTCTTTTCCCGGCTCAGGGTCGGGTTTAAGCATATTTATTTTCCTCGAGACTTTCTCGAGGCTAAAGAGAAAAATCTGAAATTACATCTGAAAAATGTTCTCTGCATTGAGTAAGTAAGAAACGAGGCGCAGTGGCGGGTGAGTGGGTCGGTCGGGCATCGTGGTCGTCGAACCCTGCGCGCTCGATGCGTGCGGTGCGTGCGGCGCGCGTGCAGCATGCGGCGCCAGCGCGGCCGCAAGCGAGCGCACGTCACAGTGCCTGGCAGCTCGGGGGCGGCCACGGCTCGTTTGAATCGAACGCACGTCCGGGCCCCGCCACCCTGGGGGTGTGTAGTGGACTTTTCGCTCAGTTTGATATATATTTTCCATTCCTCCCGATGTAAGCTACTGCGGATGTAGGTTCCGGCTCGTGGCGCCGGTGCGTTGCTCGCATTTACATGCCCTGCTCGGACGCCACCCCTCGCGGTCTTCAGATGAGTGCTCACTCGCATATCAACATCTCGATCGAACTTAATTAAATTTTCCATCACTTCTCATTAGACTTGGGACTAAATGGGACTTAGCTTTTGATCCTTGTATGATGACCATACAGATATACCTCGGACATATGCAAATCTGTGCATGTGGAATTACAATTATTTAATATTCCAGAGCCAGTGTACGTATTCAGAACTACATGTTTAGGGGTATGATAACTATTTCAAATTAAACCGTACTTACCAAATGGCATCAAATTAGGATTCGAATGAATTTGACCAAAGTACGAGTGAAATTGTTACACAATTTTAATTCTAATTGACTTCGATACTGAGATCATTTAACGTGTTATGCTGCTTTCATTGCCGTATTTATTTACTCAGATTGTCGGCCGAACGTAGCCGCGTAGCGTTATCGCTACGCAGCCACTACGCTCGCTACGCCGTCGCACACCGGAGAAGAGATTGTATACATTATTGAAAAACATTCATTGGCAGCTAAAATATAAATTTCAATACACATGTCTCCATTATCAAATCTAGTTTTAAGTTTAATATTTGTATTTAAATATCTCAACAAAAGCAAAGCAAATCAGAAAAATTGTAATTGCCGGTTTTTATTATTAAAACAGTTTGTTAACTCTGCTACGTATAGACTTGTTTACTCCTTAGAAATACAAAGGCCACAATAAAATATTACATCACACACGAACATGTTGTTCTTCATTCAGTTGGAATTGACAAAACATTGAATAGACATCACAGGTCTATAGTACGTTTGTATACAGGGGATTGTTTAGAATCATAGACAGCACTTAGTCGCTGGCCGCACTTGACAAGTCTGTCGGTCAAGGTTGAGTTTCGTTAGAGTCCCCTTTTTATTGTTTTGGGCTCAGAATCAGATATACAATCACTCCGTAGCTTCGTACAACCTTGTTTGGGTCAAATACCCTGGGTATTAACTTAGAAATTGTAAATAAAGAATGGATTCCACTTGTAGGTACTTAAATATGTTTTATTACTTATTTTTTTGGGGTACGATTTAGGAATAAGGTGTTGCTTTTCGGTCGCAACTGTTGCCTAACTAAGTGTCGTTTAAGATGACGGGCACGACACGGCATATTTTTAGTTTTATGAATAGAAAGTGGTCTACTTTGTGTTAAAATTTCAAATGCATAAGTACTAAAATAACTAAAATTCCTATTTTAATATTTGAAAATGCCAGACAATTAATGGACCCGACAGTTTGAGATTAACTCACTTGGTCAATAAGTCTGCTGATGATTATCAGATAAAAATAGACAGTGTCAAGCACGTACTAAAACCTTTTTACAAATCTGTACTAATTAACCTACAATATTGTGTGTATAAAATATGAATCAATTACATCTCAATTGATATTTCATTTATTGCCCTTACAAATTATAGCGCCTTAACCCCGATTGTCTAATTAACATTGTACATGCCCGATCCACTTTTCATTCAAGCCCTAACAGTAATCAGAGGTCGTCACGTGATTTTCGAAGCCCAGAACCTGTCTCTTAGGCGCCTGAGGCTTGAAGAGGATCGGTCCCTTACGCACACCGCCAGCGACTCAGCTAGCATGGCTGCTTCGTAGAAAGAGGAGACGGCTTCCCCGTTCCTCTCACGCCACACCTTTATTTTTCCAGCTGAGAAAAATGCCTTACGCATACACACACCACGGGGAGACCGGGGAGACGGTGAGGTTATCTCTGGCTTGCACCCACTAAAAAACTCAGCTTTCGTGCCGTCTTCTGCCTATTGGGAGAAGCCACGAGGACCAAAAACGACTTTCGTGACCCTCTCACGCCACACCTTGCCCTAACCAAAGCCAAGGGCCACTATCATTCCCTTCCCTGAGGTCTCAGGTGTACTCTGCCTAAGCAGACCACGTCTCCACTGTGTCTTCCAGGTGGTCCTTGCAGTGACGGCCGTTACCTTACGCTAAATCCGAAACAGATAATAATAATAAATAATAATAATAAATTTTTATTAAAACATTGAACACGTTTAAAATTACAGATGGCTCAGATTTTATAGTAATAAAAAGTCTTAATAATAACAATCGTAATAGTTAATAGCCTAGCTAATACAATACATATGTGAGGAAATAACGTTCTTAGTCTAAATATTAGGGACTACCCGAACTAGGTTTATTTAAACCTGTGTTTCAGGCTATCAATGCAAAAAAAATAATTCAATGGATATAATAATCATTAATTATCGTATTTCATAATGTAAGACTAAGCAAGGACAACCTGGCCTAAATTATTAAACAAATATAACATCATACTAGTTAATATGTAAGTAATTTACTAAAAATAAGTACTTTATTTTAATACTTCTAGCAATTTTTCCGTATCTGAGTAATTGAGGGACTGTAAATATTCTGTTAGCATTAGTTTACACTTATTTAAACTTACACTATACATTTTTAGCAGCTTATTGAGTTTGTTATATAAATAAGGTCCTAGAAATAAATAAAATCTGTTAGTAAAAGCATGTTTCGTCTGAGGGTTAGTGCAAACTAACCTAACTAACTAAAGATATCTAGATACCAAAGCTTACATGTCCGGTAAAATACCTGCGTGAGGATGAAGGTATAAAATATAAGATTGCTACAGCTGCAATATGAAAACTCTCAATAGATCAAAAATGTATTAAACAGCATTTTTATAACATGGGCAAAATAGTGCATTTTCAATACGGCGTGGCATCACAGCAATAAAACTGTGCATATACCTAATGATTGTTCGCCAGTAGATCGATCATCGCCCATGGACAACCGAAATACTAGAGGAGTTCTTTAGTATTTCGTTTGCAAAAGCGCTTTGCAGGATTTTTTGATGTTGAAAGAATTAATCCTCCGGTAACATCACTCATACGGCGAAACACAACGCTGTGGTTGTTTCACAACAGTTTTCTGTGAGGTCGTGGTACACGCCGGTCGAGCTGGCCCATTCGAGCCGAAGCATGGCTCACACACTTAAAATCTTGGTAAGAGGGTTGCTGGTTTTAGCCTTCTGGTACAAAAAGTAGCAAATAAGGAATATAAATAAGCAAATATGTGTTCGCGTTCATGATATTAATTCCTAAACATTACGAAGTAAGTAATCACCTTCCAGATATTTACTACAACTGTACGCATATAGTGTATTCACTTTTCCATCAACTAGATAATCGACGGTTTTATTCTCCGTTCTATATTGTAAAACTTTGAACTAAGTTAGGTAGTTAATTAATGAAAAAGAAAGGGAAAAATTTATAGGCTCTTTAGGAAAAATGGCAAAATTACCTAATTAAAAATTGTACACACTACAGTGGTAAAATACGGAATTTTGAACCTTACAGTAAAAATAAAACTTGAAACTTAAGGTCAAAATACAATCAAATATGTCGATTGGACAAGTGTCAAATTAGTAAAAGTTTTGTATGTCAAAAGCACATTTCTGTTTTTTTTTTATACTGACTTTAACCCTTTCTACGAGCTCAATGTCTCTGTTAACCAAAATGAAACCTTACGTGGACGTTGATAAGGTACTACAACTTTTTCATAGCACCCCTACCGTTTGTCTTTTACGAGCACTTACGCAGTCGCGTTAGGTGCGTTATAGAAAGATTTTTAGCTATTCTTTGAAGTATTCAATTGGTGTTCCTTGATAGACTTTGCAATTTAGAAAAAAAATCTTCGACCTTTGTTATATTAATATGAAATGCTCATAAAATACTTAACTTAGCAGTAGACTTTAATATTTGGACAAAACGTCAAACAGGGTTGCGGGTATTAGCCTAATAAGGTGCCACGGTCCCGACCAGGACTAAGAGAAGGAAAAGCCTGGTTTACTAGTCAATAATAGTCTGGCACTCCCTCTCACCCAGTGCAGGAGAAGTTATTCGATGGTTTTTGCACTTAAAATAATTAACACTAAGTATCATTCATTTAATCCAAGTTAAGATTTTAATTGATTAATAAACTAAACTGAACATTTCAGCTGCCATATCTATATTAATGCCTGAAAACGAAGAAAGAAGGACAGAGCCTTTTTAGGTTCTATCCTTCTTTCTTCAGGGGCATTTATTTTCCAAAAAAATATTGTTTACCTACCCAAAGAAGGAAGACAGGCATGACAATATGTAGGTAAGTACCTGTGTGGTAAAAGGGTCAACGAAAATTTCCACTTCATAAAATTTTCTTAACACATAATTAGTTAATAACTACCTGCCCTAAAAACCTTAGAAACATGCCTAATTTTATCACCAAATGAATAAGTATTTATACATTTTTCGATTCTCGAAACTCCTATGCTCGCTCGTGTAAAGTTAAAAAATATCACTTATCAAATAAATAAATAATTATAATTCAAAGAGTCAAATTAATAAAAAATCTTCTATCTTGGAGTTCGATCAGACCTAATTCACTCGATGTATTAAGTATTCACCACAACACGAAAATTTAAAATTACAGAATAAAAATAATGCGTACCTAATTCCAAACTTCTTAGTATTTTTATCAAGTTACAGTAGCACGCACTTCACCATGATTCTAAATAACTTGCTACACTCATAATAATATCCAGAAGTAAGCTTTTGTTTTAATCCTGATTAAAACTCAAAATTTATTTGTTATTTTCTATAAGTTTAGTACATACAATCTTGATATATCAAGTAAGTTACCATTAAACTTACAAGCAAAAGTTTACCAACACTCAAACTCGAGAAAGCGGCTGTTATTAAAAGTATTCAAAGGACTCCGTAGTACGGTTCTTTATTGGGTCAATAAGCCAGTGAAATAGGTGCAGTAGGACTCGGGTGGGGACCAAGGCGTCTTGCATACACTTGAAACATACCGTTCGCACTCATTTTAATACCATTATTTTTTGCAATATAGGGTCAAGCATTTTTGTAATTTTCTTATAACATGTCAGAAATGAGTATCCGCCAAACAACCCTTTACTTACATCGTCCACAAATAGCAGCATGGACATCATGCAATGACGATTCAAATCAATATTACAAACTGGAACGATTTT